TACAGGGCTTAACCTTCCCATTTGGACATCTCTGAACTTTTAAGGCTGCCGGACCCCTGGGATGCAGAGCAGGTCTTTGGGGAGCGATTGAAATGACCTTCCCATTGAAATGACCTTCCTACTGGCATGACGAAGGGGTCGGAGGCAGCGCGTGGCTCCCGGGGTGGTGGGTGCGACGTTGCAACGTCCGCGAGGGCTCCTGYGTGCAGGTGAGCATTAGTGTTGCACTGAAGCTGGCTGTGAACGGCTTGGTTTGTTGCTGCGTTGTGAAATCAGTGCAGTGATGTAACGGCCCTTGTGTTGTTACACAAAACACTCACTCTAAACATGGTGTTGCCTTCCTTGAGGCTTCGTGTAATGAGATACAAGCACGTCCTTAAAATGATTTTTTTTTTTATTATTATTATTACTACTACTTCATGGTGTAGATTTGCACTAATGATGGTTGGAAACAAACATCTTTATATTTTGTAACATACTTGACTATCAACAAGCAGGCTACAGAATGTTTTCCAATGGTAGCAGCTTTTCCTGGCTACTTTGGTATCAACATTTGGCRTTATTATTGGTATTAGAGTTGCTGAGTTCAGTGCGTTCTTGAAACGCTTTCAGGAAAAAAGAAAAAAAAATGGATCGGATGCAGATTTGGGGAGCAGATGATGATTCTTTCTATTCTTTCTCTCTCGTTATCTTCTCACATCCTGGCTTTGCTTCCGCGGGACCAGAGCTGCCCGTGGAGGGGGTTCGTGGTGAGGAGCCTTCCTGAGGCTCTCWCACAATCCCTGGGGAAGGGGAAGGACCTTGGAGCCCGGATCGTCCCTGCTGGCATTGCTGCCCCGTGGTGGGAGCCTCCCTCCAGCCGCCCCGTTTCGTGTYGCAGCCTCTCTGCCGCTGCCAGGAGGATTTTTATTCCGTGTCGAGGGAAAATGCATTCATGCCTCCAGGATTTGTGCTCTTTGCTCTGCGCTGTGCGATAGCAACCCGGCGAGATATGCAAGTGGAAACTGCATTAATGATTGATAAAAGCTGAGAGCTGTTTAAATTTTTTTTTCCTGTTTAATGGCTATCAATAATTTAATGCATTTACTGTATGTTTTTAAGAAATAACCGCCGTATTACAGACTCAGGTTTAATAGGCTAAATGTTTCAAGCGGCAAAAATACTGATACCCAACATGCAGCGTACCCTCTTTTTAATTAAGAATAAGGCAAAAAGACATGTGAAACCTGGCCGGAGCGATGGTGCCGAGCCTGGAGGCCACTGGGGCCCGTCCGCCTGCCCTGCCCGAGATGGTGCCTCTGTGCATGCCATTTCACACAATCACGGAATCATTAAGGTTGGAAGGGGCCTTTGGAGATCATCTAGTCCAACCTAGGTCCAACCTAGGAACACCCAGAGCACGGGKCACAGGATGGCGTCCAGRCAAGTTTGGAAGACCTCCGGAGAAGGAGACTCCACAGSCTCCCTGGGCAGCCTGTCCCAGGGCTCTGTCACCCTCACAGTGAAGAAGTTCCTCCTCACATGGAGAGGGACCTTGCTGTGTTTCAACTTACACGTATTGCCCCTTGCCCTATCACTGGCCACCTCTGAGAAGAGCTTGGCCCCTTCCTCCCTGCATTCTCTCYTCAAGTACTTATACATGTTGATAAGATCCCCTCTCAGCCTTCTCTTCTCCAGGCTAAACAGGCCCAGCTCGCTCGGTCTCTCCTTGTGCAAGATAGATGCTCCAGTCCCTTAACCCTCTTGGTTTTCCTCCGCTGGAGCCTCTCTAGAAGCTCCACATCCCCCTTGTACTGGTTTACGGAGCTCGGATCTCACCCGTGTCCTGTGCTGCGTGGTGGCAATGGGGACGTCTCGCTGGTGCCTTTGCTGGTGGTGTCTGTTGCAGGTAGGGGCTGCTATAGGGCTGTCGTGTGGGGTGAGGAGCTTCGGGAGGCTCCTTATGCGAACGTGTGCATCCGAACGGGTGCGTCGGTTCGCTTGGGTTTTCATGGGACAAACGTCATCTTGGGAAAAGCTTTTCCCTTCTTAAAAAACAGCCTTTAAAGAAGGCAGATGGGGAGGCAATCTGTGTAGCATATTTAGCTGCAATAAAGAGTTGCGTAAACGCTTCTAAATAGAAGGGTAGAAGGATATTGAATAACCTTGGTCTCTGAATAAAGGAGATTACAATTTAATAATTTAATAATTATGCTTCTTGTTTAGGAATTGCATTTCAGGCAAGTAAAGCACAAAGAGGCTTATGCTTAAACTTCTACTAATGGGTAAATCCCATGAGTTTGACTAAGATCTAGGCAAATCAAAGGGAAAATTACTTAGGATAGATGATCTCTTGTTCACTAGGACTGCGGTTTTGTCCTTTGGTTGCACTTTTTAGCAACTCTTTGATAACCTTTTTGGTTATTTGTATATAAATACTTAGGAGATACTCCAGTATAATGCTTCCTATTAATTCTCTCTGCTCCATAGAGTATATAGTCTGCCTGAAGAAAAGGTGACATTTGTTAAACGTATATTGAAGAACCTTAGGAAGAGCTTATTTTGGTCCTGTAAGTTGTGTGATGATGCGGCATTGTGCTTGGCTCCTTACTTATTTGTTTATTTTTAAACCTTTTCTGCCTTATGTTAACAACGTTGTGGGGGAGGAAGTTGTTCTATACAACAGTGCCCTGATTTAATTAATTTCTCTAGTTCCTATTGTAATAAAAGCAATTGACATTGGGAAATAGAGCTAGGAAATGCAATAAGTTGAACAAATGCCTCCGCCGTTGGCTGTCTGTAAGGGAGGCCACCTCTAGCAGAGGGGAGGCCCCTCTGCTTCCCCACAGAGCTCCTCCTTGCTCCTTATGCRAGTTACAGCTGGTCTTGACAGAAATCCTGTGAAGACTCAGGTATAACGTCTTCACTTAAAGCTAGGGTTCTGCAATTAGATTCTGASTTTTGGGGAAAGCTTAATTTCACTTCATTTTACTTTATATTTTGTTGCCTGAGGATTTGAGCGCAGAGCAATCTCGTTTTCTTTGGGGAAAGCGATGTCTGGTTTGAAGCTACAYTCCTAAGTGATGCTTGTGACAGGTTTTTGTCTTCCTGAGAATATTGTTAATAAACGCCAGGCTTTTGCACTTAGCCGCCTTTTGTGCCGTCTCTTGATTTTGTTTGATTAAAAATCAAGATTCCCTAGCTTCCCCTAAATCTTGTACATCTGCTTTAGATGTTTTTTCCCTGACAGCAATAGGATGAAAGAGGCAAATTTCTTAAGCGTTTGAAATGCAACTAATATATCAATTCTTAACTGACTTTACCTGACTTATGTGGGGTTTTTCTCTTCGTAGAGAAAAATGCAGCCTCAAGCATCCTTTAGATTTAATAATTAAAAAGAAAAGCACGGGATGCATTTGATTTATGGGTGCGCGTGTGGTTGGGGGCTCACGTGGGCTGTGTTTTGCAGCGTGGCTGCTCGCTGCGTATCGATCAGCAGGCTGCCCCGGGAGGTACACGTGTCACAAGCAGTTCGCCCAGGGTCAGTCTTGTGCGGGTCTCTGCAGAGAGGGCCGTTTCCCTCTTCCTGCTCAGTGTGGTCGCTGGCGAGCTGGCAACGGGGGCTAAGTTGCTTTGTGCGAGTTCGTGGGAAGGGGACTGAGACAGGACRGGCGAATGAGGGGTGCAGGACGTTAAAGCAGCAGCATTAAACAATGCAGGAAGTTGGGAGGGCAGGTTTTTGAACAGGATACTGGTCTCGCCTCTGGACCCGTTTTGAGGACTGGGGTTAAGGTGGAGAGAAAGCCTAGAGCAGCCGGGGGTGCGGGGCTGGAAACGGCACAGCAGAGGGTAATGGGTGCAGGTTGAAACMCACAGTGTTCCAGCTCCACGAGAGGAGGGATTCGTTGTTGTGAGGGTGCCAGAGCCCTGGAACAGGCCGCCCGGAGAGGTKGTGGGGTCTCCTTCTCTGGATATCCTCAAAACCTGCCTGGATGCTGCCCTGTGCCAGGTGCTGGAGCGGGGGGTTGCACTAGCTGTTCTCTATAGAGGCCCATTCCAAAATCACCGAGGAGCGGCGCCGGCTCCATGGGCGCTGCCGGAGCCGYGGGGAGCAGCCGAGGGCGGCGGGACGGGCACCGTCGGGACGGGCACCGTGGGCTCGGTGCCTCCGAGGGCGCTGCCTGTGCCGGCTGCTGCCTGGGGGCTCCCGCTGTCCCGGCTGTGTGACCCGTTCCCGTCCGCAGCCCTCGCTGTTGGCAGACGGGCAGCGACCGAGGGAGGAGTGTGGGGAAATGTGCAATAGCCTGCGCCCRTGTTTTCCGTGTTTTGAGACCTTGCATTCACGTTTTCCAGAAACAGGAAGCTGCAGGTCAAGTAAGGGTAGAGAGCTCTGTGTCCCTAGGTATTCCTAGCAGAGAAGAGAGCAGGAGCCTTCCTCTCTGCTCGTCTCCAGGGAGGACTGGAGCAGCTTGCCGCTGGAACGAGTTGTATCTTTTGGAAAGAAAAAGAAATGCAAGTTGTGACTGGTCACATTTACTTCTGGTTTTACATATGATCCTGCAGAGAAGAGTTTGTAAGCGCTCGCATGTGTACTCTCTCTAAGCCTGCATCTACCTCTGTGCTCCATACGCAGGTTGAACTTTGTCTTCTGCCCACCCTTGTGYTGTTAGACATGATGTGTTTTGGTGATCACACCGAAGCGGGTGCGAGTTGGCTTTGCTGTTAGCATGAGCGTTCCCCTGGGAAGCTTCAGCCTTGCTCCTCTTCTGGTATCTGTGCAAACCCCTCCGCAGTTTTCTTAGCAGGTGACTTGGCCTTCGTGTTGTGCTCTTTGATATGGTGATGGCAGAACATGGAAATACAAGGTAGCTTCTGCTGAGAGATATACTTTGGGGCTGCAGAAAGAGAGGCCTCATACCTAATCTGAGGAGTTGTAATCTGCTGCCTCTTCCAAAAACACAAAAGCTGATACTTACTTTTCTCTTCTGTTTTGTTTTTCTCCCCTTAGGAGATGGTGTACTGAGGAAGAAGACAGCTCTTTGCTCCTTTTTTTTGTTTGTTTGTTTTTCCTTTTTGTTTCTCCTTGCCTGAATTAGAAGCTCCAGGAATGTGCTAATTGGCGGCGGCCTCTTCAGAAAGGTAAGAGGTGGTTGTTATCTGCCTCCCTACGTGTTTTGCCTGTTCAGCTCCTTTTGGGAAAGGGCGATGTTAGAAGGAGCTCGTCTGCATAGAGAGTAGACAAGTCTTCTGGTTAATGTGGGTTGCTCTCGCGTTGCCTTCAACCCTCCCATGCACATCAAAGGTTCCTGTGCTTCCCATGCCGTTCCTGTCCGGGGGACAGTCAGCTGGGAAAGCTGCAAGGTGAGAAGCACTCTCGTGTCTCTGGGGAAAAATACATAATGTGGCTGTTGTGCTGCAAACTGAATCTCTGTCCAAATATCAGCTCTGATGAAAATAGTCAGTTAATTCTGGAGAAGCCAAGTTGAAGCGTGATATCTGATATGGTAGATCTTTATTCTTTCTTTACCTATATGTCTCCTGTGGTGGGRGGGCTTTGTGGTCTCATGGTTGGTTGTAGCACTGGTGAGGAGGAGGGGAAGCAGCTGGAACTCCAGCCCCCAAGTTGTGGCACATTTTGTGCAGGGTCAGAGATGAATGGTGGCTCTTCACCGCTCCAGACCTTTTCAGTGGTGGGCCGAAGTGCCAAGATGCCATGGGTGAGAGTTGAGGTGCAGCGTCACCTTTTAGCACTTGCAAGCAATTAGATTTTGTAGTTGTCTGATGTGGTCTGCGTGCAATCCACATCCACCTTGCCACTTCAAGACACACCATTTGTCGCAGGATCTGTACAATGCAACCGTAGGCGCTGTGGTCTTGGGAGCACCGGGAGCTGCTTGGATAGGGGCGTATATGTATCTTAATGTTAAAAAGCCCAGTTGTGTTGGTGTCGCTCAGGGGCCGGGTGCAGTGTTTGGATCTCCTTTCCCCCTTGGCGAGAGGCCGGCGCTCCCCGCAGCAGCAGCTCTGCTGTCTGTGGAGGGCGGCCATGCCAGCGTTCGCTTGGTGGCACCATTCCTGAGGAACGACCACGCTCCGCTGGAACGACCACGCTCCACCTGGGCAGCTGCCCTGCCGATGGAGGCCCGTGTGGTCGATGGATGTGCCCTGCGATGGGGACACCAATGTGGTTGAGCCCTCCGAGCCCAAATTGGTGCAGAGGTTGTTTCTGACTCTTGCTCCTGAAGGAGCAGCCGTCCCTGTGCCGAGACGGAGCAGGAGGGGAGTTCGCTCGTGATCAGGGCATGCAGAAGGATGGTTTTGCTCCCGTTCTGAAAGACTTGTGTTTTCTCATTATTTTTCCCCTTTCTGTCATGTTCGTGTCAATCCCAACCATCTCCAAAGGAAAGGTGATAGTGCTGCCAGCTCACGTTTCAGGTGGGTGACACTGTGGTGTGTTAAGCAGTGTGTCTGTAATAACTTATCTGTCAGTGGGAGGCTTACCCTGTTTGTTTGTATTTCCCCTTTCATATATAAATCAAGTTCATAGCTTTGAGGCTTTGAAGAACACTTCAACACGGTATTTGTTTCATGTTTTGTTTTTTCTTTTTTTTTTTTTTTTCCAAAATCCTTTGAGACAATTTTGGGCTAGGATTTCTCATTCAGTAAGTAACCGTATGCAGTAAAACGTAAATTCAGTAAATGTAAGGTGCCTGTCAAAGCTATACTGCACTTAACAAGAGCCTAATATGTTTTTCCCAAGCTCTCGGTTGGTAAAGCCGTACCGTTCCCTCTGCTCGATAAGGACTTTACCACTGCTTAAGGCTCTTCCATGCTTAATCACGTTAACCGTGGGCCTGTGCTCAGTTGTTTCTCATGAAGCATTTGATATTTTTCAGATTGTTGTTTCGCGACGGTTGCGGTGTAGGGTTTTCAGTTGTGTTTTGCTCTGGGAAGGACTTAAATCCCCCCAACCTGCCTGCGGAAGGGGAGCTGCCCCTATCTGGTGTTTTTAAGGTCACCTGTGTGTTCAGAAGCTGCTCATGGATGCGGCTCGTGGCCCGGGAAGCCGCGGGAGCTGCGTCCCCTGCCCCACCACGGCGTGATGCAGGCCAGACCACCTCATGGTGCCTGTCCTCCACGCACAGCGATGTCTGCACGGGCCGAGCTTAGAGCTTCTGCTTTGTAAACCAAGCAAGCTTTTTTAAAATTATTTTTTTTCTTCATTGTGTGTGTTTTTCCCCTCTTAATCTTCTTAAACTTCTTGTGCCGCCACTACAAAATTTCTGGTTATTTTGGTAGCTTCCTACCTAGGGATTACTCTAGATTAACGTTTGTTGCAACCTTGGACCCAATGATCTCTGTCCCTTCCACGGACCGCCTTGCTAAAGAAGGGATATTTCTACTTCTGAAGAGCAGGGAGAAAAGAAAAGTGGGGTTTTTGCTTTTCACTTCCCAAACGTCTTTGAATATTTGTAATATTCATAAAACCCATTGAAGAGAGTTACAAATTTGATACATGGAGGGAGTTGCTGTTTGCCAGCAATATGAGCAGCTATGATATTTTTTCAGGCTGCGGGTGCCTGGCTGAAGAATGGCAGCATAAGTTTTTTGCTGGTAAAAATCTAAATCCTGGCGGAAATATGCAACTATAAAATCTGTAGGGAAATACAGTAGCAGAAGCTGTTTTTATTCATGTGCAGCACGAGGAGTTTGGCTTGGGAGAGAGTTCTTCCCTCTCGTAGAAAGCAAGGCTTTTTAATGGGATTGCTGTTTGTGCTTCATTTAAAGCTGTATTTTATTCTGGAGACACAAATGAGTCGTATGCAGCACCGATAGTGTTTTCTCTCTCCTTCCTAGCAACCCGGCTGATTTCCTTGGCTCTTTCTTCCTTGCATGCTGTTTGATTCCACGCTGGTGATCCCAGCGGCGGTGAGAGGTAGATGACCCCTGTCTGCGTATTCCCGCGGGGAAGTGGGGTGCGCTTTGGAGCAGGGTGCCCTCCTTGCTGCCCGCTCTGTGGGGCGCTTTGCCGTGCCGTGACCAGCACGGGCTGCTGTGGCCTTGGAGGTAGGTACCGTGTGTTTATTTGGGCAGAGGGTCCAACCAATGTGTCTCTAGCTGTCAAACCAAATACCAAGCACGTCGTGCCTGCGTTCAAGTGATCTTCTGCCATCAACAGGGTGTCTGTGTGCTTTGGTGCTCTCAAGAACGTGTCTCATGAATAGCTGAAACCGTCGGAGAACTTGCTGTGATGTGCGTAATAATGCAGGGTTGTAATAGGAAAATACCTAAAATGTTATAAATTAAGTGAAGAACAAATAGAGTGCACACTTATAAAGAGGGAAGCTGCCTTTGTGAAATTAAAAAAATGAATTACTCTGGGCTAAATTAAATTACTTTTAACTTCCTTATTTTGTCTGGAAATTACCTTCTTTTATGACCCCGTGTGAAGATCCTTTCTAGAGTACAACTGGGATGAGTAACTGGCTCGTAAAAGTCCCCTTGCAGGCAAACCCCTTGCAAGCTGGTGGCCGGGCCGGGCTGACAGCCTTGTGTGTCCTGGGGAGACACCCCCAAGTATTTCTGTTGATAGTTAGTAAGGATTATATGGAGAGCATTCACCAGGCCTGTAAAACTGCAGGCTTCAAGAAGACGACAGCCCAGTTCCAGGGAAACAACCTGCCCGCGTTGGCACTGGAATGGTAACCGTGCTGAGCAAGGGAAAACCCTCCCAGGATAAGGGCACAAAGCCTGTGGTTGTGCCCGGAGCAAACACAGCAGGTGATCAATGCATCTGAGTGGCGTGACCGGGAGCGATCGCATCCCTCCGCGTGGCCGTGCCCGGCCCGGGAGCTCCGCTCCGTGCCCACGGAGGCCCCTTCGTGCAGGCTGTGCAGCCGCAGCGCTAAAAGCAGCGGGGATAGTCACACGTGTTGCCTGCAGAATCCAGTTTGGATTTGCTTGGCAGCGCAAGCGTTCTGAAACCGGTGATTGTGCCTTGCAGACATCGATCCCGTGTGTTCAGGGCTGCCTGGTTGCTTGTAGCTTGCCTCGTGCTGCGTGTCAATAACGTGTCACTGAACATCTTGCAGTTGTTTTTGCCCTTCCTTTAGCCTGAGTTAGTGTGACACCTTCCTGAACAGGCTTCCATACAGTAAACCTCTGTGCCTAGTGCTTCAGGTATAAATTGAAAACTAACGCAAGTGCTATTGGAGGTGCACTATCTATCTTCATGTCTAGCCTCTTGTCAACAAACCCAAAAGAAGCGTTTCTGATGACATCCCTTTTGTGATAGATGCTTCCTGATGCCTTAACATCAGTTACTGTCACTGTCTCCACCGTCTAAGGGTCAGACTTTTTTTCTCATTTGACAAAAATGCCTCAGGTGAAAAGGAAAAAAAGATGTATTTAAGGAAGCATTTGTAGAGGGAAAGGGATTGATCCATGAGGTTTCCTAACGGGGAGATTTGCCTTCAATCTGGTGAACCTCCCTTGGGAGAGGTTTAGTATGTTCAGCTCCCTTATTCCTAATGCAGGTGAATCCTTATGGAAAGTGTTGGTGATAAGGAGGTTTGAGAGAGAAAGACATTTTGTCCAAGGACAACTTGACCTGTGATGAGAGCACCACAAGCATCAATCATTCCTGTATCTTTTTCTTAAGGCATCCACAGGTGGAGGGGACACTTTTGTGGGCACTCCTCCTTTTGGAAGGGATAGGAAATTTCTTTGAGATTCAGTTATGACAGGACATGATTCCATGTCAGCGCTACATTTCTAGCTGAACACATGGATGCACGGAAAGGCCGCGTTATTTCCCTGCAGTCGCCTGGCAAGTGAGTGGCGCAGCTGGAAACGGAGCTGGGCTCTCCTGGTGTCCGCTGCCCTGCTGTAGTTCCCACCCGGCGCCTGCGTCTGGTCCCTGCTGAGCCGTGGTGAGCTCCGCTCCGCAAACCGGAGCGCCGGGAGCGAGGGACGGAGGAGGGCACGGAGCGGTGACGGGGCTGCATCCCGCGCTGCTCCCAGATCCATTCTATTTGTTGTGCTTTGTGTCCTTGAGCACATGTTTCTCCAAGGGAACAGACCCTTCTGCTTCTAGCCGCGAACTGAAGGCTGCCAATAYGTTTTACTTGCAAGAAGCA